GATTAAGCCCAGAAGATATAAATCTCCAGGCATGAGGCCTAGTACTGCATCCAAGGGTGGGCTGCTGGGGGTTCACAGGGGTTCGGGAGAACCTCTAGCTAAGATTATTTGCAGTTTGGAGAACCCCCAAATCCCACTCACCCACCCACCCCTCCCCTCCCAGGAGTCCCCATGCAGCCTGTTTTGGATGCAGGTAAGTGCAGGGAGGCTCGGAGATGGCAAAAAATGGGCCTACCAGAAGTTTGGGAAGGCCTGAATCAGGCAATTTCCGGCCTCCAGAGGGCCTCCAGAACCTGGGGAAGCCATTTTCACCATCCCTGAACCCGAGGAAAGCCTCCGGAGACCCGGGGAAGGCAAAAATGCCCCCCCCTCAAACTGTGGTGCAGGAGGCTGGCTAGGCCCCGCCCACCATGGCCACACCCACCCAGCAACCGGACAGAGAACCCCTTGCTAAAATTTTTGAAGCCCACTCCTGACTGCATCTCAACCCAATTTACCTTTCAGAGCAGAGATGAGGACAAAAAACGAGGGTGAAGCATAAGAACACTATTTCTTGCAGAAGGGCTGGGGTGACTGTATTGAAATTGGGAAAGAAGAAACAAATTGCAGGTTCAGGAAGACCATCTTCCTGAAGCCGAGGTGGCGCAGTGGTTAGGGTGCAGTACTGCAGCCACTTCAGCTGACTGTTAAGCTGCAGTTCAGCGGTTCTAATCTCACCGGCTCAAGGTTGACTCAGCCTTCCATCCTTCCGAGGTGGGTAAAATGAGGACCCAGACTGTGGGGGTGATATGCTGACTCTGTAAACCGCTTAGAGAGGGCTGAAAGCCCTATGAAGCGGTATATAAGTCTAACTGCTATTGCTATTGCTATTGCTATCTAATGTAAGTTTCAGAAGAAAAGGCCCCTTTCAGTGTGCTTGAGGGACTCTGCCTCAAAAGTCTCTGATAACTTAGCTCCAGGGCTTATCTGGTTCAGCTGTTTTATGGTGATTTATGATGTTGGCAGGAACTCTGTAGGGCAGGGGTCTCCAGGCCACAGCCCAGGAGTGGGCCACAGACCATTTGGACCCAGGCCCCGCAAGAAACAGGTGAGTGTACATGCATACATAGCTCCACTCACTCGAGCCCTGGGAGCTCATGCATGCAGCCCCACTCACACAAGCGCCGGGCACGTGCACCTGGCATTCATTCAAAGGAAGCTATGCACACACACATGTGCCTGCCCCTCATGCAAAAGCATCTGCTCTCCCCCCCCCCCCGGTGCCAGGCTGCCAACCTGGAAAGGTTAGGGACCACTGCTCTAGGATATCGGACAGAAATACTTCAAAGTTGAGATACTTTGTTGTAAACCACCTAAGAGTTGCCGCTTAGGCAAGATGGGCAGCATATAAATTTAATAAATAAATAAAAATAAATTCTGGGAACTAAAATGGAATCCTTCATGGGCAAACAGTGGGGTCTATCACTGAGTTACCAGTCCTTCCCTAATCATACCACCTCACTTGCTGCCCACATATTTGAGGGAGAACATCACAGTTGTTTTTCTGCTGTCTGTACATGAATCCTTTTTCTTCTTGGAGAAGGGTGCAAAGACCCCACTTACCCAGAAGTGAGAATGATGGGAGTCGTTTTGTTTAAAGGATGAATAGCCTCCCTCTTGAGCAATTGGCCCTCTGCATCAGGTTTTGTTACGTGTCTGATCCAATAAAGGGATCTCATCTTTTTCATCAAGAAGCCATGGATGGCTGAATAGCATTTTTCCATTGTTGTAAAGTGAATACAGTGTACAATCTGTCTCTAACCAATTTTGTTGTATACATCATGCACAATGACAATAAAGGCTATACTATACTAACGTGGCAACCTCTCATGCAGATCCAAGGTCTCTGGAGGGCACCAGGTTGAGGTAGGCAGCATTTCACCATCTGCTTTTGCTATGAACTGTGGAACTGTGGATCATTTATTTGATATACATCATAAATGGCGTTCAGTTTGGCTTTCCTTCACTTTTCTATTGATTTGAGCCTGGGTATTACATACTCATGTTCATGTCAGGGTTCCAGATAGCATCCAGAAGTAAATCAGAGTCCAAGACAAAGTATTGCTCAAAGTTCCAATTCATTAAGAGAGCCATGTTGGCATATCTGGGAAAACCCGAATCTGAAGGCTTCCTGGTTTTCTCACCCAGTTGAAAGTTCAAGATCTTGCCCCCACACCCACAAGCCCATCACATGATCCAATCTCCCACTGCCATGCTGGCAGCTTCCATCAATCCTGTTCCAGTCAGGTGCACAGGTGCAGAGACAATGGCTGACCTTGGCTTTCTAGAAAGAATTTGGTTATGGCTACATAGCATCTAACTCCATATAATCCCCCTTCCCATTTTTTCACAATAGAAAATGCATAGTGGAATAATAGAAAAGTGTGGCAGGCCTAAGATCCACAAGTAAATATGGCTGCACGCCTGACAATGCGTATAATGAATCTTGTCTCCTCCGTATTACCCTTGCAAACTTCTCCCATTCCTGTGTCTCAAACTCATGGTCTTTAAAATATTGGGTATTGCAACATCTTGAAAATAACCATCTGCCTGAAAAAGCAAATAAAACACGTTCCTTAGGCAAACATTTCTAAATCTTGAATTGGTAAGACACAGCCTTCCTGATTCCTGTATTTTATTAATGGGCTTGTTTTTACTAGGCAAAATTCTGATTTTAATTGTTCTAAAATAGCATTGGGAGTTGAATGCTATTCCCAGGTATTGGCAGCACAAGGGTTTTAATGCAAATTCTTCAGTCTTAGTGCTGTAACTCTCCAGGAGCTATATTAGACTCAGCTACCCTCCCCTATAGTTTGTGGACTCCCAAACCAAGTTGAGTTTTCCAAGTTACAGAAACAGTCTGCATCATTTCAAAGCATAACCAGAAAATATTTCTTGAAAAAAATGGAGTTAGATAAATAGGCAACCTCCCTTGTGGCTTTCCACACCGTTAGCAATTTCCTTGGACCAAAATGGTAATAAAACCTACTCGTACTTGGTGAAAGGAGTCACAAGACCCCCTTATTCCTCCTGTGGTGCTTAATTGTAGCACTGAACTTTTCACCCCAATTATAGGGATGTAATCCATGGCGGTTGGCTTTGCTTGGGTCTTTTTTCCATAGCCATCAGAGAGACCTGTCATTGTACCAAGGCAGGAGGGAACCGTTGTGGTGGTATGAATTGAGTCACTTTCTCCTTTTACAAAAGAAAAAATAACTATGAATGTTTTCTGTTTTTCAGTACTAAATGTGCCCATCTCCCTTTCAGCTTCCTATTGGACTCTGGAGATATGTGATAAAAAATAGAACAAGTTCAACAATCAGAAAGGGAGAGGTAGAAGAGCATTATGGAAGGGGATCAAGTGCTGCTGTAGCTCTGTATAGGTTTTCAAAATAAACATTCCTTGAATATGCCTCCCTCCCTCTCCCTCCTTCTCTCTCTCCCTCCCTCTCTCTCCCCCTCTCCCTCTTTCTCTCTTCCTCCTCTCTCTCGCCCCTCTCCCTCTTTCCCTCTCTCTCTCCCTCTATTGAATGCCTCCCAGTCATCCCATGCCCATGTCAACCAGATATCTATGGCCATCTGAAGTATATTTTTCCAGGATCGTTCGTTCTTTCAGGAGACAGACAATTAAAGCTTTTAGATTGTCCAGGGAGACTCAGATCCATGTCCACTTTCAGCCATAGATTAGCTGAGTTGCTTATCTTGCAGAGTCTGGTCCACCCCACATGGTTACAGTTATGGGAGACTGATGAAAGAGGAGGACTTGCAGTGAAGAGGAAGAGGAAATGTTTTGGGGGCATTCCAGATGAACTCTTTAAAAAGGAATACATTTTTCAACATGCATCAAGCCAAAACATTTTTTTTAACTGCCACTCCTTCTGCCTCTTGTTTGTTCAATTTATGTATAAACTCTCAGAGAAAAGATGGGGTTTAAATCTTATCACATAAATCTCACATATCAGATGAAAACATAAACATGAGCATACCAACCATTTGCCACGCCGATCAGGGATTCTAGGTGTTGTCGTTCCAATTTATGAAGGGGACTTCTGGTTGTAGGAAGCTAGTGTGGCTTTTTGATGAGCGTACAAACTTTTGTGCATTATGATCCTGAGCTAGGCATGATCTGCTTCTAAGTTAAAGAAGTCATTTACAGGTAGATGTGGCTCTCAGCACTGACTAGGGGAGGGGAGAAATTTGGATAGCATGCACTTGAAGGAAAGCAATTCCAAATTTGTATTTCTGGAACCAATTGCAAACCGATGAATTTTTATTCAATTTAGAATTATTATCATTCATTTATGACTATGTACATGAGAGAGTTTAGGCATGGAAGAGATTGATTTACTTTGATTACTAAAATATTAACCCAAATTAGAAAATGAGAGAAACTGATATTGTTTCTCCAAAATTCTAGTAGTAATACAGTGTCCCTGCACATCTACCACTTGTACTAATCAAAATCACAGGGGTTCAAATGATATTTTACTTAATTAGTATTCTGGGCCTAAATCAGAGGTGGTATTCAGCAGGTTCTGACCAGTTCTGGAGAACCGGTAGCGGACATTTTGAGTAGTTCGTATTGGTATTTGAGTAGATACCACCTCTGACCAGCCCCGCCCCCATCTATTCTTTGCCTCCCGAGTCCCAGCTGATCAGGAGGAAATGGGGATTTTGCAGTAACCTTCCTCTGAAGTGGGGAGGGAATGGAGATTTTACAGCATGCTTCCTCTGCCACGCCCACCAAGCCACCCTCAGAGAACCAGCAGTAAAAAAAATTTGAATCCCACCACTGGCCTAAATAATTCTAAATTAAAGTGTACGATTGCCAATATAAATGAGTGACTTCCGTCAGAGATAGGAATTTAAAATCCGGAGGTTTTGAGTTTGATGTATGCCTGATTTCTGAGAATTTCTTTCAGTTGTTGTGATGCATTGTCTGATGTTTCTTCCTTCCCCAGCATCTATGTATTCAGAAATACAATCGGAGCGGCCTGATATTGGGAATATCATGACTCATCCTGATTATCTTGATGGAAACCCTGATCTTATCAAACCTAAAAAGCTGCTCAATCCTGTAAGAGCCTCAAAAAGCCACCAAGAACTTCACCGGGAACTACTTATGAATCACAGAAGGTGAGCAGAGGGTTGGAGCCAAAGGCTTCCTTAGGAGGGATGGAGTGGGTATTGCATTATGTGTGCTGTGACATCTCTGGTTTTGTCTGAGACATTCTATGAAAAAGAATGTTGAAGAAGTAGGATAGAATTTTAACACTTTGATCAATACTTTGACATTGGAGATAACCTCCGAGTATAGCAGGGAAGCCAAAAGAAATTAACCCAATGCATCCTGGAACAAGTCAACACAGAATTCTCACTTGAAACTCAAATATCCAGGCTCAGATTATTATATTCAATTAAAGCAGTGATGGATGCTCTTTTTTGGTCCTGAAATTTATCGCATTGGTGATAAATTGATCTGCAGAAAATCTACACATGGTGTCTAAAAAAAAGTCTACACATGGTGTCTAAAAAATAATACTAACCTGATGACACTTATGCCATAGATGAGGTATAGACAATCTTACAGGTAGAAGAGGTTTGTAAAACAGGTTACATTTATTGGGGCAACTGTGTTCTATGTTGTTTTTGAATGCCTGCATTTGTAGGGAAATTAATTAAGGAGTTCATCTTTCTTTAGGTTCAAAGAAGTATTTTTATATTTTGATTCTCAGAGCCCTGCCTTTACACCTTGAATAGATGCTATGTCACTCTATCTAATGAATTTGCCTTCTGTAAAATGGCCTTGCCTGTTTGTCTTCCGGGTTTCTGGTGCGCATTTGTGCGTGATGATCAGCTGTCCTTTGCATGCACAACAGTGCCAAAACCCGGGGTGCACATGCACACCGGCCAGTTGATTGTTGGGTGCGCATGCGTGCCAGAACCCAAAAGTTCAACTTTTCCAGAGCGCCATCCCTTCATGTGCATGGCAGTGCTGAAAACCGCCCTGCGCAAATGCACCAACCAGCTGATTGTCAGGTGTGCATGTGCTCTAGAACCCAGAAGTTCAGCTTTTCCAGAGCACAGCCCCCGTGAGCACGCAACATTTTCACACGAACCTTTCGGCACTTGGTGTGCCAAAAAGGTTCACCATCCACTGTTCATCATATGATTTAGCCTCCAGGCCCTTTTGTGAACCTCGAAAATGGATTGAGAAAAGCATAATTCAGCTAATCATGGAAAGGCAGCATTTATTACAAAATAAGATGCATATACTAACATTTTTGCGAATCATGTATCTGTGATGATATTGTGTAGCTCCACATAAAACTTTGAAGAATTTTTTTTTAATTAAAAGTCATACATAGGTTCTTAATCCTGGAAAAAAAGCTCTCTCATGATTCAGCTAACATTTTGTCCTCATTTGGTCCCCTGCAACATCAAAGAACACCAAAACCGAGCTGAGATTTTCCAAAGCCTCACAGAAAGGTAGATACTGTATATCTGTAGATGAAAGGCAAATGATGGACTCGTCAAGAGCTGTCTAGATGAAAAGAGAGAGACGATCGGGCCAATATCCTGTTGGTTTCTCAGCCATATCTGCTAGCCTTATTAGTTTTATGAAACACAACTTTCCTTTGCAAAGAGTAGAAAGGTAGGAGATGGAGTGAGTCATCCAGACCTAATAAAGAAGGCCTGATGCGATGGGAGTTTGATTAAAAAATAAAATCTCAAAAATGCAATTCTGAAATTAAAAGGAGGGCTGCTGATCTATATCTTTTCAATAACAGTTGTACTTTAACAACAGCCACTAGTTTAATAAACCACCTCCTCAAGAAGGCACAGCATTTTTAAATGCAAATATAAAAGTATACAAAATCTAGATACAAGATTGGGACAATAATGGTATATGGAGCACATTGTGAACTATAAATACAGGCTGAAGGAATCTGGGTTATTCAGTCTGATGAAAAGAAGAGTTAGCGGAGACATGATGGGAATATGACTGTCCATCTCACCAAAAAAGTGACTGGGCAGCGTACAATATCTGAACCCTTCCGTTTGTTTACTGCTTACTTACCTTTACTGTAATAATTAATCACACAGCTGTTTTGTTTGTTTGCCATATTTATAAGCCATCCATTTTTAACCAACCGATCGAAACACAATCAAAAAGAGCAATCAGTAAAATTCAACAACATCTTAAACTTTGCAGTATAAAATCCTTAAATTTGCTCAGTACTCAAAACCATGCTACAGTATGGCATGTGAAACATCTGTGCAAAAAAACAAAAATCCTAAGGCTTGAATGTGATAGTGAGCCTTCAGTCTCCTCTTGAATTCAGCCAGGAAGGGATTAGACTGCACTTTGCAAGAATGGGACTCCATAAATCAAGTGCTCCATAAGAAAGTTCTTGTCCTAGTTGATTCCATCATGCTCCCTGCTGGTCATATATAACCCACAAGAAATTGTCCTTTGAGAATAATAGGTTGATGTTTTCAAAAAAATCAACTAGTTTGTTACAGTTCCCTGTTCCTTGAAGGGACATTGTAATTGGGAAGATTGGGGATGGGATTTTAGAAACCTGTCCTGCACATGCCTAGATTGATCTAAAAGAGGTTGAAAAAAGTGTTGGCCACGGAATTATAAATAGAATCCTTCCTTTGCTATCCATCAAATTATCAAGCGCTGAGTCGTCCCAAAGGTGCTTTTTCAGGCGGCAACTGGACTTTCTGTTTTTTCTTTGGAAGTCATAGTGCTCTGATGAGAGAGCTGAAAAAGCGTCTTGGATGAGAAGCGAAATGTCTTCAAAAGTATTGGAAGAAATGTCCATCTGGGTTCAGTTCCAAGTGGGGAAAAAGACACTGGAAACATGGAGGCTGCTTGGAAAGATGGTTTAATGATGAACAGGATCACATGGCTTGAGCTCCTGAGAAGAAAGAGGGGAATCATATGCTTCCAGATGTTGGGTGAAGAAGAAAAGAGGCCGAGATGCTGAAAGTTCATGGTTTTATGCCCTCTCTGGCCTTTGATCTTGATCTTGTATTCTGATTGGTTGTCAGATTCCCATGGGGCCATGCAGGGGTAACTTT